GATTGTTCAAGTGCGGAGACATCACTAGTGTCTTCATCCGAGTCTTTGTTAGACGAAGCTTTCGTTGAAGGCGCGTCAGTGGTGTCGTCGTCGGACTTTTGGTCGTCTTCAGATTTTTGGTTGTCGCCAGATTTCTTGTTAGCCTCCCATGTGACAGGGGCGTGTGTGGACTGCTTTTCCTGAGTACCAGAGTTGCCACTGGTATACTGTGCCATGTCACCCCATGAGTCATCTGCTCCCGTGGAACTGAGGGTGATACCGAGCAGCAGACACGCAGAGGCAACCGTGGCGGATCGAATGCTAACCATGCTGATGTTTCTGATCAGCTAGGCGTCGTGGATACCCTTCAGTGATACTAGAGGCACTTGCAGGTTGCTGCACTAATTGGTAAATGACTCGAGAGGTTTGTGAAACTGCGTTTGTGTTTAATCGTCACTAGACTAGCTGTTGTACTGGATTGCTCCGTTGCTTTATCACGAGGCGTGGCGCTTCGAATCCGGTTTGCCCATCGAGATCTCGATCCTAACTGTACAGACACGATGGACCGATTATCACCTACCTGAGCGTGTTTCTCTTGCTGTCGGATGCAGTCTTGGCTAAACGTTAAAACTGAACTTTTTTTTAACAATTTGTATCGTATTCGAAATTAGCAATAGTTCAGAGCTTACTGAGCCCACTTCAGCAAGATGGTGGTGTTTGTTTCCTGTGTGGAGCACCAGATTCCGGGACAGACCATTGGGCATGTCAACTAAAAACAATTTGATTTATGATCGGTGACTGCTGAAAGTTGATGTAATCAAGCTGCAGCCGGAGGCGAGGGCTTCATTGAAAATATAGTTCATAGCAAAATGCAAGCAGTTGCCATTAAAGCGATTAAACGTCCTGGTATGTAGTATATACAACGGTTGACTATAAAACGTGAAAGCCGCAAGGTTGTTAATATTGATGCGTTACGCTTTCGTTTCTACGGTCGCAGAAATGATGACGGACCAAATCTTCAATTCACGATTGCTATAATACAGTAGTATCAAGAGGCCTGGCGCGTTTCGTAAAACATCGAAGTTCAATGCGGAGCAGCGCTGGATTGCGATTTCGAGCATATGTCACTTCAATGTTACAATTCTGCGAAGAGTAAAGTTTACTCAGTAAACTACGTGATCACGCTTCCCGCGCAACGAAAACATGCGTCGAGCACAGCACGCGTTGGTGCCAAGCGTAGTGACTGCTGACGGGCTCCCACACGTTCAAGTTCCTTGCTGGCTGCTGACTCCGCGTTTCTTACCAGTCGACAGGCCAAAGCAACGCCCTTGTAAAAGCGAAGTAGTCGAACGCGCACATCCAGCAAGCCTTTGTACCACAATTCAAAACGCACGGATCACCGTTCGGCGACATTTATGTGTCTTTGGGCCTGAGCAGTGGCTTACACCATACAGCAATTGTATTCCTGCGCGTCCAGCTCAAGCAACACCAGTCATCCTATGGCGGTTGCAGAACTGCAGCATTGCTTTAGCTGCACCAACGACCGGACTTCCGACATGATAAATCGGACGACTATCCACAAAAACTGCTGCGCTTAATCGCTTGTTTGCGTTGTAACACCTTTCCCTTTAATTTATTGAGTGCATCGCTTCATTCGCGGCTCTGATGACTCGAATCCAGCAACGAGTACCCTTTATTAATACTACATCTACATGTATTTCTAGACGCCAGTGTCGAGCATAAAGCTGGCTATGAGTAGGTTGAGCCTGTGTATGAATAAGTGCACCCGGTTACTCTCGCCTCTTGATCAGACTCGCTCATTAACTCCCATATTATCTCGCCTCGTCGAGATCATTGCCCACTAAATACTTACATTACTGGGAAACGGTGCTTAATATGGGGGATAAACGAGATCAATTATCCCTAAGATACC